GCCGCCCCCGCCGGGGCCGGCGCCCGCGCCGCAACGGCGGGAGAGCTCCCGCAGCAGCGCCGCCTCGGCGCCGCCTGGGACCTGGAACAATGAACCAGGTTAGTATAGAGGGTGAGGGTGTGGTTTGGGAGCTGTTTGAGCAGTCTGGGGGCCAGAATGGACGATGGCTGGCGGGGCAGCAGCCCAGGTTTCATCTGGTGTGCAAGTGGTTGGCTCTAGGTGTCAGCAGCTGTGGCTGCGGCTTTGGGATCTGGCACATCGGCACTGCCTGAACGACGGGGCCGCCCTCAGCGCTATATGGGCTGTGGCTGCACTCCGAAATGTCACATGAAGCATCTTGGCGAGGCGTCTGAAATAGTGTCGGGCAACAGGGCCGAGAGCCAAAACCGTGGAAGCCGTCACCAACCTCGAAATACTCCTCCCCTGCCAGCCCCCCCGCGCCCCGCCAGGGCCCCGAGGCCGCCGCGCGCCGGGCGTGCGCGTCATACACCGCGCGGCGCGCCGGGTCAGAGAGAGTCTCGAACGCGGTCTGCAGGGCTGCAAAGGCGGCGGGGCTGCCCCCCTTGTCAGGGTGCGCGCGGCGCGCGAGGCGGCGGTACGCCTGTGTTTGGCCCCGCCGTTGAGGGATTGGTGCGGGCGCGCGCGGATGGTAATGGCGTTTGGATGACACATGTGCGACAGGTGCAGGTGCAACGTCCATGCAATCGTTTGGCATGGGTGCGTCAGCGTGGCAGGCGGCTGGTTCACTGGCGCAGACTACCGGCCGGCTGATTGGCAGCCGCACTTGCTTGACATCCTCGGCGCTGCAGTCATCACTCAGGCCCAATAGAGTGTACATATCGCCGCCTGGCGCCTGTGGGACAACGCCGCAGCGGCGGGCGGGCCAGCGGCACGCGGGGTCGCAGTGATGGCGCGTGGGTCTGGGCGGCAGGCGGCGGTTGAGCGGGCGCTGTCGGCGCTGGTTCTTGGGCTATTGGCGGGCTGCACCCAGCTTGTGCAGCAGGGTGGACGGGGAGGTATCAGGATGGTGTATGGGTACCGCCGCAAATGTTAGAAGCGCACCTGCTGTGGGCCCATCAGCGGCAGACCGCACCTCTGGCTCTGCAGCACCTCTGGCTCTGCAGCAGTTGCAACTGGGGCCTAGTGACGCCTATCCAAGGTCCAGCGGAGAAGGCACAATCCTGCATTTTGGGAACGCTACAACAATAAGAAGTAATCGCGATGAGTTGCATGTTTGTGCGCAACCTAGGCATTGGCTCGTGCTGATCTGGCGGGACTTCGGGCACATAGTTCGCGGCGTTCGCAGGCGAGAGTACCTCGGGAAGATGCACACATCATCAATATCTTGATTGGCAGCGGCGCTAGCGCACGCTCGCGCCGCGATCAGCTGCTGGAGCGGCAAGGCGCAGCTCGAGCTGCAATGGCAGACGGCGCATTGCCCCGCCATGACCAGCACAGCAGCGGCGAGCCCCTGAGCAACATCATGGTAAGACGCGGCTGGCTGCGCTCGCACGTGTGCATTGGCCACTGTTGCACTTCGAGCGCCGCTTGGTAAACTGACCATGGCGCCTGGCGGCACAAGCCGTATCCCGCTGAGATCCTACATGAGCACACGCCGCCCTGCCGCAGCCGCCGGTGGTCGGGCCGGACGTTCTTGAGGATCCTGCCCTCTCACTGGATGAGATTCAGGTTGGCTTCGACACCGGCGTTGCACCCCATGCTCCTTGCGTGGCTGCTTTCAAGGCACAAGACTGGACAGCTGTGCCCCTGTGCACGGCATGATGCTTGACCTGCGCTGTGCCTGAGTGGGCGACCAGGGTGGTGGGCAACACGACGCGACGGCCCCCCTCCTACAACGACACCACCCCGACCCGCAGGCGGCGTTCGCGAAGGCGGCCGCCAGCAGCGCGGGCGCCGGGGGATGGCAGCAGGGGGAGCAAGAGCCCGAGGGCTCGCCCGAGCAGGGAGGGGCGGCCTCGCCTGCAGGCCCAGCGCAGGAGCAGGCGTCCTGCGAGGACGGGCCGCCGGGAGCTGCCTCACAGCAGCAACCAAGCTGAGCGTTGTTTGGAGAGGTCTGATATGTTTGAGGATGCAAGAGAAATGGTTTACTGTTGTCCAAACTGAACCAATCATGTGACAAGCAAGCAAGAATAATAATTGTTACTGAAAGGCGTGCTGCCGACCGCCAATGTGGAGGCATCCAGGCAACAAAGCATATGACGGTCTTGTGACGCGTCGTCTTCGCCAGGTCCTGAGCAGCGCAAAAGCTGGCGACCCAGACGCTGCATTTGAAACGCACCGCCGCCCAGCGGGCTCAGCACGGAGGGCAGCCGGCATGGCTGCCGTGCGCATCCACATACACAAAAAGCCGCGCGCCTGATCCCCAGTGCCTCCGTCTGCAGGTTTGCCCGCAGTTGCTCACTCCGTCGCCAAATCGGCCTCCTCAGCGCCGGCCTCCATTGCCCCAGCCATGGCGTAGGGCGTCGTCCGCGCCCGTTCGTCCGCGCCCTCCGCGGGGCAGCATGCCGCCAGGAAGCGCCAGCGCCAGGCGCTGCCGCGGCTGCCAGCGGCGGGCTCGCTGCGGAGGTCGCAGACCGCAACCAGGTCGTGGCCGGCGGCGCGCAGCGCGCTGTGCGCCGTCAGGAGGGCCTGCGCGTTTGTGCATGCGTGTCGTGTTGAGCGAACCAGTGCAAGCACATGCGCACAAACAATAGCCCGGACGGGCGCACTCGCGGGTGGATGCGAAAACCAGGCGAGCTGAGCCGGGCTTGCCAGTCATTGGGCGGGCAGGCCCCAGGAGCACGCACCTTGGCTGCGTTGGGCATCGCGCTGCGGCCGACGCATTTGAGCACCACCGTCGTGCGGCCGCCCTCGAGCCCGGCCAGCAGCGCCCGCGCCAGCTCGGCGCCGCGGGCGGCGGGGTCGTCGGTGTGGCGGACGCTGAACGGCGGCGAGCCGTCGGCGTGCAGCCGTGCCGCCGCCGCGGGCACGCGGTGCAGGCGGAAGAGCAGGCCCGCTGATGAGGGTACAGCATCAGCGGCAGCGGCAGCGGCAGCGGCAGCAGGTGACCCAACCTCCAAGTCAACCCCAACTGTCTCGTCTTCTTGCTGCTGCTGCTCCTCCTGCTGCTGCTGCTGCTGCTGCTGCTGCTGGTCCTCGCTGCTGACAACTGCAGCCACCATTTGACCGTCATCAGTGGCGGCTCCGCTTTGCTGCTGCGCCCCCTCCGCCTGCTGCCCCTGCGTTTCCTGCGGCCGCTTTCCGTCCTCCTGCTCCTGCTCCTGCTCCTGCTGCTGCTGCTCCTGCTTCTCCTGCTGCTGCTGCTGCTGCTGCTGCCATGCGACGCTGGCGTCTGCCAGGGGTTCCACCTGGAAGCTGATGGCCTGCGGCTCGTGCCACTTGCCGCTGCGGTTGCGTGCAAGCATGGAGCTGGCAAACTGCAGCGAGTGCAGCGCCAGCTCTATGTTCTGGTCAGGCGCGGCCAGGCGGGCCGACGGCTGTGGGGTGGGCGGCGAGGGGGGGGGGCGTGCCGAGGTGTGTTGAGAACGCCGTGGGGATGGTGGCATCGTGCGCGCACCAAAAATATCCAGCCCCTCTCTCATTCATGAGTTGACAATGACCCGGGAGTATGGTGCCAAAACCAATACAGATGCAAGTGCCACCATGGGTAACAGCCAATAAGAACATACACAGCCCCCCCCCCACTCCACCAAGGCACAGAATCTGAGGCGCTCACCCAAAAGTCCATCATGGATACCACAGCCGCCGCGAGTTCCCCCTGGGTCGTGCTGGGCGTGGCCACCAGCATCCGCGCGCGCCGCTGGCGCTGCTCCTGCTGCTTCTGCTGGCGCCCCTGGCGCTGCTGGCGCTGCCCCGGCTGCCCAGCGCGGCTGCGGCGCTCCTGCTCTTTATACATGCGTGCCACCTCGTCCGCCGCCGCCCCGAGGGGCCGCTGCGCACGGGCACGCTTAGCGGGGGCGGGGTTTGAGGCGGCCTCGCCCTGTGGGGCCGCGTCTGGCGCAGGGGCGCGGCGGCGCTGCGGCGGACGCATCATGCCCGACCCCTCCCCGTTCATGTCGAAGAGTTTGGCACGCTCCTGTGCATGCTCCCGTTGCTGCTGCTCGTGCTGCTGCTGCGCGTCGGCGAATGCCGGGTCACTTGAAGGGAGCGGCATCAGCACCGGCGGCAAGCCCTCCTGCTTGGGCCTGCCGCCTCGCCGCATGCCTGCGCCGCCGGCGGGGCGGCGGCTGCGTGTAGCGGCCACGGCAGTGGTGGCAGTCGTGGCGCTCGGCCTGGCGCGGCCCAGCGGCCCCAGGGGGTGCGGCCGCGCCAGGGTACTCATGTGCCCGCTCAAGCGCATCGTGATGCCACAGGTGGTGGGGGCAAGCGCAATTCCAAGTTGGTAGCGGCCGCCGCGAAGCGCAGTGAAGAGCGGTGGTGTCTTCGGCTAGGCACCCTGCGCTGCAGCACGCAGTGTACAGAATTGTTTCAATAGTCAATTGCGAATGGGCCAGGCGGCAGGCGGTTTAAGTCACGAGCTGCACGCAAGAGCCGCCTCATAAAGCGTGGGCCAACAGGCCTTGGTGGACTGTTGCCTAGGCCAATGGATTTGCAAGCATTGTGGTCTTATCTCCTATCTATGCACGTCGGAGGCGCCTGGTGCCCCCGTGGCACAGCACGCACCCTGCTTTTGATGATCGGGACTGAGCTTGCACGAGCCTCGTTGGAATAAAACAACGGGGTGGGCTTCAACAAGGCGTTTGCTTTCAACATATGATACGACACCGCAGCTCTGCATCGCCCGTACCCCACACTTGCACACTCGGTGTCTTTTGCTCCTCCTCCAGCGCTACAAGGGCTGCTGGATCCAGGGGATGCTAAGCTCACTCAGGCTATCAGCTTTGTTGTTGGAGGGCTCCTTTCTTGCTCTCTACAAGGGCCCAGCGATGATCCTCACGCAGGCTCCCGGAGCTCGGCTGCAAAGGGGTGCGGGTACCAGTAGTTCGACCCGGTAAGTGCCTCCATTGAAACGTGGTTTTTTCCAGCCCGAGGCAGGCAACGCGAGGTGGCCAACCGATCGTCCCCCACTCTTTGCTGGCCACCGCCAGGCGGACTCTTGGGCAGCGCTGTGTCGCCAATGCAGCTCCTGTCGCCAAGTGAGTAGTAGCTTGGGGTGGCTGACACTGCCTGGTGCCTGCCCCTGTCTTGCCAGCCGTCTTTTGTCGTTCATCAGCCGGACGAACAAGTGGCCGAGTGCGCCCATTGCTCGCCTTTGCAGGCCTCAGATTGATTGGGATCAGCTAGGCTTCGGGCTGCAGGATGTCGCGCAGGTGCGGGCTCGGCGCGCCAGCGCGCCGAGGCGGCGCATTGCTGCTTTGCGACCATGGGGGCCACATGGGGGCTGGGCGCAGCCACGCTGCTACCGCAGGCTGCTGACCGCAGCGATGGTTTGCTTGCGCCGGCCGTAGTTTGAAACGGGATTTGTGGGCTGAGACGGCTGCCCTTTCGGACAACAGCAGGCGGTTCGCGTCCGTGGGGTGGCCTCGTGCGTATGTTGCGCTCGCGCCGCCAGTGCTTCACCCGCGATTGCGTTCACCCGCAGACCATGTTCATCTCTGAGTGGCACGACGGCGCCTGGGGCAAGGGCGAGCTGAAGCCCTACGGGCCGCTGCCGATGATGCCCAGCGCTCAGGTCAGTGTCAGAGCACGCGTGCACGCGTTGCCAGGGAAGTGGTGGAAAGCCTGCAGCTGGAGGCAGGACGGCCTGCTCGCCAGGATTCTTTCGAGGGTTCGCTTGGGCCTATGTATGGTGGTGTGGTGGTGGTGCTGTAGCCCCTGATTTCCAGCCCAACGCACCTCCTCGGGGCACCGTCGCCCGCCGCCGCCGCATGCGCCGCGGCATGCAGGTCCTTAACTATGGGCAGGCGGCGTTTGAGGGCATGAAGGCGCAGCGGTCGGCCAAGGACCGCATCGTGCTCTTCAGGTGGGCCGGCCGCTCGCCGGGGCGGGGTTTGTCGTCGGCGTTACTGCTGGGGGGTGGGACGGCTGCGAACGGTTTGGCGGACGGTGGGGGGAGCTGGCGGCGGAGCTGGAGCAGCTGGTGTGCAGCGCGCGGCCCCGCAGCAGGGCCGGCGACAGACCGATCTTGCTGATCATGGCAGTGGCGTTGCCACAAGCTGCAAGTGCAGTTGCCCGGCGCCGCCGCTGCTCTGCCGTGGCGCTGGCTGGTGTGCCACTCACGTGCAGCGCCGCCCGGGTGGTGTGAAGGGGATCGGGTCCACCCCGGTCTGCGGCTCACGCCCTCCCCCCGTGCCCCTGGCTCCCGCGGCAGGCCGGACCGCAACGCCGCGCGCATCAAGGCGGGCGCCCAGCGGCTGAGCATGCCGGAGGTTCCGGAGGACGTGTTTGTGCAGGCAGTGCGCTCGACGGTCAAGGCAAATGAGGTGCGGCGCGCGCTGCGCAACGCGCGCCGCGAGGCGGTCGGACGTGGCGGGGCAGCATCGGCGGGCGCCGGTCGCCTCATCGTTTCGCGCGGAACGGCCGGCGGCTGCCGGCGCGTTGGCGCGGGTGTCTTTGCTGCATTGCATGCGCCAGCACCCTGCCGCTTGCCGAATCGGTTTGATAATGCGCTGGTGGGCGCTGGCGCAACTCACCTGCCACTCTCCACAACCATTCATCCATCTGCCCGGCCCTACCCACCCCCAAAC